CCAGCGATCTTACTGCTAGCACTGCAGTAAGCTAACGTTAACTTATGGGAAATACAATCTTGATGCTAAGAAAGGCGGTCGTCAATCGTGATATAAGGTAACTTTAAATACCATACCTGTCTCTTCCCTACATCACAAGACCCTGGGCGTCAATTTAGACAAAAGGAAATTTGTTTTGTCCACAAAATTACAAACGTTATCAAGACGTTAACTGTTCGTAGCTCGCTGACTTGGTTGACACATGTCATCGTATCCCAATTGCGTAGATCGATGTTCATGCTGTTGATCACTGGAATATCTGGTCCAGATTCGATTATTTACAGACCACCGCCATATAGCTGGAATATTGCTGAGTGTGACGTTAGCAAACTAACAAAACAAACCAACTGTAAGTTATTACCGAAACGTACAAATGCAAACGTAAGGTCCAAAACACACAAAAAGGTTTCCCAGTAACGTCATCATGCTGCTTACGACATCGTTAAGGTGACCTGGGCGAGCATTGTTGCTAGCAGTGGTCATGTTCGCTACTGAGAATGTTTGACAGCTGTTAAAGCAACACACACTGATCAAGAAAATACCTGCTTCAGTCTGTTCATTACCGTACTGTCAAACTGCGACCTTGGACTCCTGGAGGCGTCACGTGTACGTCATCTGTTGTGAAGTATTGGAATACCATAGAAACATGCTACCATCGAATAAGCACATCTTGTTTGTTACAGTTCTTACCATCTTCTAACATTGGTGTACACAGAGACCATATAATAGATATGGTCTCTGGTGTACACTATCATTTGCTCAATGGTTTATCTTGGGTCGGTAACTGGGTCAGACTGGAGGATCTTATAATAATGCGTTTATAAGTGTTTGTGTCTGTCTTACCTTGAGTGTGGCCTCGCCATTCCTAGGTAAGGAAACAATTCGGTCAAGTGGAGTGATAACGGGTCCAGGTCATGGTGAACAACTAGGTAGAACATCCACCAGTTCCGTGTTCAGGTTATGCTGCTAGAATGCGCCGGCTGACGTGACGGGTGTCAGAGCTTCTGACGACTGGGATACCGGCTGCAGATTTAGGACACGAGCCACTAAAATCCAACTTTGGTATCTGTGGGCACCGGTTGGGGTGAATCAAAAGCGCATACAGAGGTACGTCCCATGATCGAGCCAGAACCCGTTGGTCGTGGGTTCCAGACTCCAGTTCTGGCTGATTTACACCTACGACCTGGTTTTGACTCATGCTCGTTAGACCCGTGAAGAACTGATCTTCAGTAACCCATTCGTGACCTTTAAGCGATTAACGGGAGGTCAGGCGCGCTGGTTTGGTTGATGCATGTCATCGTATCGCAATTGCATAGATCCATGTTCGTGATGGCAATCACTAGATTGTCTGGTCCAGACCGCCGTCATGCAGCCGGAGCCGAGTGTGCAAGCAAACAAACAGATAGAGCAGTATTTGAAACAAATGTATATATACCAAGAGTCTTAGGTTAATATGACATCTGATAAAGTGACAGTGTGGTGATGACGACAAAGTCACGTGATGGGCGTATGTTTGACTATAGTAAGGGTTGAAAGTCTACGGAGGTCTGGAAGTGCACGCGTTTATATGTTAGTGTGGGACTTACATAACGTGTGACCATGGCTTGGGTAAGTATATGTTCATTGTGACATGTCGTAAATATGACGCAAATTTGGATCGGATGTCCAAAATGAATTCTGTTTGATGCTATGTTGGCAGGGGTAAGATCCGGCGAGGCCTCGCCTTTACCTTCCTTACGCGTGAGTGAGTTTAGTTTTACGCCGCTTTTAGCAATATTCCAGAAACATCATGACATTTAATGGTGGAGTAGTCATTGGTCACCAATTGCAACTGCGACTATATGTATCGAATGGCCAGGCATGGTGACATGCTTCACGCGACGTCATCGTATCCCATCGTGTATCGATGCTTTTAATGCCAGTCACTGGAATGTCTCATTCGAACAAGAAACAAAAGACAGTGCACAGTGTATGAATTAGTGAAAGTAAAAGTCAACATTATCAAAGCGGTCACTTCTTGAAATGGAGTCAGGAATGGGCTTCATACCTTGTACCCATGATGGGAATCGAACCCGGGTCTTCGGCGTGTCGAGCGAACGCTGTAACCACGAGGCTACGTCGCTGGCTCCTCACCTGACCACCCAAACCACCCACCCACATACTCACGCCATCATTTCGTTCCCTTACTCGAGAAATAGTATAAATCCGTTTTGTTTTGTCGGTCAAGAGCCACACAACGTCATGGCGTCCCAACCTCTTTTCCATGACCCATATGTCTCAAATGGTCTGAGGTTTGTATTGTGTAATAGACAAAAGCCCTAAGGTCTATTTGTATAACCTGAAAAATTCTAGACTTGCCAGTTTGTGTGGTTTCATGGTCTGAACTAGCCACACTCTGCAGCTGGACTGAATTACGAGTATACAGTTCAGTAATTATATCTTTATTATAAGCAAGTCTAGATAAGGATGCCATTCTTTATATGGGACAACATGTTCGTATTTTTTATATAATTATGAAACCTTGATTAAACCTAATAATTATTGCCTTATAGACTTGTGCAAGTCTTGGTCTGAATGAAGAACTTGCTAAGCTGTTGGGGGTAGAAGCCTGAGTCTTTGTGCTTCAAACCCCGCTTTGCTTCACACTGAAAAGCCAGATGATCGGGGAGCTTCGTCTTTAAACTGTTTCACTATCTGTGTTCCTTTCAAACTTCCGTACGATGACCTTATCAATGCGAAATCGATTTCTCAGGAAGCAATCAAATTACGGCTTCATTGATTCTGTAGAAGTCGCCATTGCCCTTCCACCCACACAAACATTCACTCCGTCCCCATCATCTCACTGAGGTTAAACTAAACTAACATATGACGGTTAATGGCAGTAGGTTAGCCTTGTGGATACAGCGTTCGCTCGTCACGCCGAAGACCGGGTTCGATTCCCCACATAGGTACAATGGGTGAAGCCCATTTCTGGTGTCCTTCGTCGTGATAATGCTGGAATATTGAAAAAAGAAAAAGAGAGTAAAAAAAAAAAGCAGCGTAAAACTAAAATAAACTCACTCCGTGTTTGCTATGGCTAGTCTCTATGTTTGAGCATGTTTCGTTAGTATTGCCGTGCACCTTCTTATGTGTCAGTCATATTGGCCTAGGCCTAGACGGTACTCATACTATCGTTAAATATGAGAAGCCCATTTCTGGTGTTCCCCGCCGAGATTTTGTGGGAATATTGCTAAAAGCGGCGTAAAACCAAACTCACTCGTACCATTGACCAGTGGTTTGTACAAGTTCGATTCCATGTCACGAAGTGACCGCTTTGATAATGTTGACTTTCACTAATCCATGCACTGTCGGACGCTGCGATTGCCTTTCGTTTTTGTTTGAATTACACATTCCAGTGATTGACATTGTGAAGTGAGTCACCGTGCCTGGCCATGCGATACTTGCACTCGCAATGGCTGACCCCAGGCGAATGCTTGTTTAATTTTGTTGGCATCTGAGACAAATTCTACAGAAATACTGTCAGGGCCTCAAGCTTCACTGAATGTCTCACCTGATGGGAGGGTGGTTGGCCCAGTTGGGTAGCTTCACGAAATACCGGGAAGTATGTTTACCCCATTAAACATGACATGACATGCAATGACTACTACTACTACTACTGCTGCTGCTACTACTACGAATTCTACTGTTGCTACTGCAGCGATTACATTACTACTACAGCTTGTTCAGCTTGACCTGAGCTACTCTACATATGCATGACCCGGGAGGTCAAATGGCACAAACGGCAGGTCGAGCTAACTTCATTAAATAGGGGAGCAGAGAATGTTATTAATGTTGCTGCTCGCTGCCTAAAAGCCCGGATCGGAAACATTAAACCATCTGTAGCTTCTTTTTTAAGTTTAAAGAAAGTTAGGACATTGCTGGTGACTTCTCGACACTGAGATGTCAAAAGGCTACTTTGTCTCGGCTGTTCGGACATGTTGACAATCAACTGACAAAGGTGCACCCCTTCACAATAATAGACCCAACCAGTTGTGACACGGTCACGTAATTCTGTTACTACTACTACTATTACTACTACTACTACTATTACTACTGTGACTGCTACAATTACGACATACACTACTGCTACTACTACTATATAGTAGGAGGTTAATCATTAAGTGGCAGATCAATATTCATCATTAACTTTGACGTGACGTTTCGACAAGTTCAATAGAACAAGTCCCAGTTTCCCCGAGCTTTCCCCACTTAATGATGAGATATGGCCATTGGTGATGTATGGCCTGTGTACGACTAACCTGCAGGTCTGCCCCTATTTCTGACGAAGGGTACCTCTAAGTCCATATCCCAGTCCATATGAACCCCACACAGCGCCCTTGTAATGTATATGCCGGGTACCTGCGTCTAGCCAGGACGGGTGACGTGTCAAGGTCAGCTCGAGCTCTTCACGCGTTTGTCACGATCACTGCCAAATACACATTTGTTAAACTAACATATGACGGTTAAGGCTTACAGTAGCTGTCGGAGTGACACGAGCTGATGGGTCAAGATCCCATCAGTACTTGACACACATATCTAGCGACCTGATTTGTAGAGAAATCATTTGTGTCCAGTCAGCAGTTTTTCGTACAGTAATATCAACGTAATATATACGATTCAATAACGTATCTTCACACACATACATTACTTGAATATAATCTAGATCTGGAATGTGTCTAATCATTATTATTCTTTATGTAATAATACTTGTATGCGAGGTTAAATTTTCTTACGTTTTCAGACATTCAACAGTTAAATTATAAAATTCTGTTAAATGAGAGCTATTCTTATCCCAGCAGATCGGTGTTACTTGAAATGAATCTGCAAAAATCGTCCGAACATTTTTCAGGACAAAATGATATTGTCACATTTGATTCAACCATAATCCAAGCCATATTGATTTGCAGGTGCGTGGATTCTTGAACGTATTACTGAGTTATCTGTGAAGACGGACAATATTTGCCAGGAATAATAGTTATTATTCTTCTCACGTAAGCCCTGGTTGCTGGGAAGCACGTCAGCTGATTGTTGCCCCAGATCGGAAATTCGGTCAAGCTCTGTACCAGTGTGCGGAGTACAGGCGCTGTGAGGAGTTACATAAGACCGGCTGCGACGTTTTCTGAAACAAAGGTAGTTTGCTCTCCTACTTTCATAATTTGTTTTTCATTTGAATGCATTACATGCTATATTTTCATTTCAGGATGTTTGTTTATAATGTCCTTTAGCTTATCAATGATCGACATGGGTGCAAAGTGCAGTCTAATTTAATGCGACACGTGGTACGTAGTCTTCAAAGCATTACATCCTGGGACGGGGCTAAATTACAACATATTTGAGCCCTGATGGTGCATAATTATTGTTAAGGGCTCACTGCGTTTTCTAAGCTCTGCACATGTGCAGTGTGATCACTCATCCATTTGTGCTTTTGTCTCCAATGTGTTGACCTCGTGACTTGATCTTTGGAATAAATATCCCCCTTGACATCAGAACACGAATCGTTAAAGGTGTATTGCTATTAATACGATTCAAATACCATAGCACCATTGATTGCTAAGGATTGTGAATGATGACAAGAACTACAGAAGGTATGCAAGTACGCTATTCAAACGGATGACTACTGTAACAGGCCAGATTTTCCCAGACTATACCCGTACTTCCTAGAGACTATACACAGCAATATATTCTGAACTAGGCCATAGTATACCTGCCCAGATTATACCCCTACAGAAAACAAGTGATTAAGGATACACTATAATTTTATTGAAATGGTTACAACATTGAAATGGTCCGATACATTTTCATGTACAAAGGCATAATCAGTGTGATACAAAGCTGGCAGGGTAATCAGTGTGACTGACCAACTGCACTGTAAATATAAATGTCACATTTTAACAGACTGGCTGTTGACATAACTTCTGCATCTGTTGCCCACACTCCATCTCGTGAAATTCCCGAATCTGTGATGTACTCACTGACATTTTGGTTCAGGAAATGTTTTAGTTCATCATTGATGTCATTGTTCATATGACGTCGAATATGTATATATGTTGTTTTAACTTTTCAAATCAGTTTTCTCTCTGGTGGGGGGTTATTCTGGGCTGCTACACCGGTATGTTGAGTTAAAAATATATGTTTTGTGATTATATGGTTTAAGTGTTACTCTAAGCAGACCTTCATTCACAATGATGTTTCCCATCACAATTTACTGACAAAACGGCACATACATGCTTAACTTGCTATAAAATGTTTAAAAAGAAAGAAAAATAGAATTCGTAACCATGCAACCTAATTTTGAGAATGCTGTCATCAGAACCTTAGCATTTATTTTTACAACTAATGGATTTGCATGTACAATACGTGTCACTCACTCCAAATATATCGCAATACATGTTGCAATATGGGTACCGCAATATGATTTAGTTGCCAATACACAGCCTTACCGATGACGTTATGCTGTTTGTGACGTGTGCCACATTCACCTTTTCCTGAACACCTTGTATAACCACTATAATACTCACTGATAAACTCAGATGTTGGCGATCTATAGCCTGTTTTTATATAGCATTGTCAATTCTAGTTAAACTGTTTTAGTGTTAATTACTTGTTTTAAATTGAAATCTGTGATCAACTAGTTGTTTTACTGTCCTTCGCTGACATTTTTTTTAAATAATTTACCATTATTTATTGTAAAATTATAACTTGTTTGAAGTCACGATATGGCTGAAATATTGCCGATGTGACTTAAAATATTAACTCACTCACTCACTGATAAACACGTGCTTCTCAGATAACAGGAAACCGGAAGAGGAAACAAGGGAGATTTGTATGATATGATGAGATTAAGTCAGTTTTTATGCTTAGATAATACATCATGACGAATGACATGTAATCTTTTGTCACAATAATAATTTCTGTCTTTAAATTCTTTGTATCATTATAATTAGCTGTCTTACTTAATGTTTTCTGTGTATAAAATATTTATCTTTCTAAATTAATAGTTTTCCCTTTGTAGTTTTCATCATATTTGGATTTTTTAGTATATTATATAATGTCACTCGAGTAAATACATCTTGACCATAGATAATTACACTGTTGCATCAAAAGGTTACTGGTCCTAATTAGACGATCTCTCTTCTCACATGGTAACAGAAGAACAGATGGTAAATAGCCTATAAATCGCTTTTCTTCCGAAATATCTCGTAAAACACCTTCCAATTATTATTCTAGATCTACCAGTGAAGGTCCGGGTTAGAATATTGATCTTCAGTAACCCATGCGTGTCGTAAGAGGCGTCTAACGGGATCGGGTGGTCAGGCTCGCTGACTTGGATGACACATGTCATCGGTTCCCAATTGCGCAGATCGATGCTCATGCTGTTGATCACCGGATTGTCTGGTCTAGACTCGATTCTTTATCATATACATATAGCTGGAATATTGCTGAGTGCGGCGTAAAACTAAACTCACTTACTCACTATTCTAAATCCTTCCGAGTAAAGCACTACCTACGTCTAGACACCCTATCGCTTGTAAACGTAAGTGTCATTGTAATTGTTATTGAGAGTATGTCTGACAATCCCTGAATCGTAATATTTTCTCTTGTACAAAGCCCTGACTGTAAGGCAAATCCCTAAATGAGCAAATCCAGATTTGCCTGCGGGTACTGACTCTCCCATCTCTCTGGAGGGGGGTGAGGAAATACGGTAACTGCGGCTAACTTAAAGAAAAAGGTATTGGTATTCTCTTATAAACGTACGTTTTTCAGTTCAAGAATTTGTGCAAGCTAATTTGCTGACTCTCATTGTCTGTGTGCACAGTCTGGTAGGATTTGTAATTTATGTGAATGTACATGTATACGAAAGGCTACACATGCTTCTTCTGGTGAATGGTTACAAAATGTAATACTGCTTGAACGGTGAATATATTCATATATTCCCAAACCACGATGCACTATTATAGTTCCCCGACGTCACTCCATACAGCAAAACAACATTTGGTTGCGAAGTGCCGATATCCCGATTACATTATTCATTGTCCTCTTTTATTACATATCCTATATGCCTGGCGTGGCTATATCGCTTACCTGTTTAACATTTTCATGTGCAGTAAAGATCCTATAGCCTATATGTTGAGGAATTATAAATGACAAAGCGAAGATTACGCAAGTCGTTTTGTTTAGGAGCTAAAATATGGGAGTTATATAGACGTACTCTATTAACATTAATAGAAAAGGAAAGACTGACTGACTGAGTTTAGTTTTACGCCGCTTTTAGCAATATTTCAGCAACATCACGGCGGGGAAAACCTGAAATGGGCTTCACACATTGTACCCATGTGAGAGAGTAGGTCGCAGAAATAGATTTGAAATGCTCCTTGACCTCGAGATTTGAAAGAAGGTGACGCTAATATATCACGCTCCTCGATCGTGCTTAAACACAAAATGGATCCGCCCCCGGGTGTGGTGGACAGTTGTGTCCTGCTACTACTACTACTACTACTACTACTGCTACTGGTGCTACTGCAAATGCCACTACTACTGTTACTACAACTATCACTACTACTACTACTTCTTCTTCTACTACTACTACTACTTCTGCTACTACTACTACTACTACTACTACTACTACTGCTACTGCTACTGCTACTACTTTTACTACTACTACCACTACTACTACTACTTCTACTACTACTACTACTACTTCTACTACTACTACTACTACTTCTACTACTACTACTACTACTACTACCATTACTACTACTACTACTGGTGCTACTGCAAATGCCACTACTACTTTTACTACTACTATCACTACTACCACTACTACTACTACTACTACTACAGGTGTCTGCGATACATGTTACGTAAGGCACGTGCAGTTCTTGCTCTGTGTGTACGCCAATGTCCTCTCGAGACCACGAGCAAAGCTTCCACCTCTGCTGTTCCCGACAAAGGATTGTGCAGATCTTCAGATTCATGTTTTCTTTCTCAGTGGATTCCGCTTGGCCCAAGCATGACCTGTCACTCACCTGAGACACATGCAGAGAACACCTGCAGTGACCCCTGTCTGTCATGCCACGAGTAATTCGTGATACTGATGTGATGGTTTTAAAGCTATGTTAGGTATGTCACGTGCATAAATAAGTCAGTTTTGATGCATAAATAATACATAATGACGAATGACATGTATAGCAACACCTCCCTCACCAGACCGCGAGGAGTGAGAGGATTTAATATTTAGCAATATTCCAGCAATATGACAGCAGATACATGTATTCTGCTTGGGGATTCGAACCTGGGTCTTCGGCGTAAAGAGCGAACGCTTCAACAGCTTGCTACCCCACCGCCCCTAGATGGCCAGGAGATCTAGCCAGTCCTAGGTTGCCAACCACCACTTAGGAAGTGTGATACCTTCAGCTTTATCACACGCGTTTATTTTCTTTATTAGATATGTAACACCTAAATCGAAAGTTGGGGGCCCATGGTTATAATATGTGAAGGTCGTGTTATTACTGGAATATCCAGTAGCTGCTTAAAACAATTTGGTAGTATTTAAAGCATATTCAGTAACGTTTTTATTGCTCTAGTTATCAAGGACAGTTGATGTGTTGTACACTTTCCAATTTTCCAATTGGATTAATCACGAAATGTTCAATACTCACACAAATATTTTGTTCAATATTTCTTCTTTGGGTGTCATTTTAGAAGTTGGAAGTACAATAGTGACAAACTTTATGAATAACATCTTCTTTTATTTCGTGAGTGCGACATTTCGATACACATTTTTGTATTGTTGTCAAGCAGGATACATATTCTTGTACCGTTGTCAAGATTCTTGTACCGTTGTCAAGCAGGATACAGATTCTTGTACCGTTGTCAAGCAGGAATGATGACTGCTTGACAACGGTACAAAAGTCTGTATTGAAACGTCGCAGCAACGAAATGAAAGAAGTTGTTATCCATAAGTTTGTTAATGTTACACAAATATATTTTATTCGAACACAAATCTATACGTTAAATCTGAAAAATGATGATTTTCGATGACCTTTTTGGAATTGCGGGATGATCATGACCTGTGAAACCCTAACTGTGTACAAGACTTTCCATGTTTGAAGCTGAGAAGGATCAGATTT